CTGCCTTCCCCCCCCTCTCGTCGGCTCTCCCTCCTCCATCCTCGCCTCGCTCTCTCTCTCTCTCTCTCTCTCCTCGGCCGTCGCTCCTCCCTTTCGCTCCGTGCTCCTCGCTGACCGCTCGCTCCCCCCCCCCTCGACCCTGACCCCCCTCGCTCCTCGCTCCTCTCGGTCCACTCACGAGCTGCAGGTTGCGTCAGATGATGCAGTCGGGGCCCATGCCAAGAAACACCTTGCTTGCCTCCAGGGTGCCCTGGGTTTCCTGGGCTTCGATGGTTCTGCTGTGGGAAGCGTGACGTGCCCACACCCAAAATCAGTGAACGTCTTGGGGTCTCAGGGTTGGGTTTCTCGTGGAAGGTTCCTCGTGGACTGGCCTCTAGTAGACTCTACTGCTAAGGGTACCACTGAGCAGCACTGTGCAGCCTCGAGCAGCAACAGCGGCCAGCAGCAGTCCGCAGCAGGCAGCGGCAGCACAGCAAGAGCAGGCAGCAGCAGCAGCATACCGCCGACAGCAGCAGCCCGCAGCTGCGGGCAGCAACAGCGGGGGCGAGGCTCGGGCGTAAGATCGTCAAGAAGGCCTTATCGGCAACATCCAAGGACCGACCGCAACGCTGCTTAGCTTGGTTTGGACCCGTGTTGTGCTTTCCGTTCCGATGTTCGTTGTTGCTTGGTTTCGTTTTCCGTTTCTCTTTTAAGCGCCTCGTTTCCTGTTTCGTTCGGCACCGGCCTCGTCTGAAACGCTCCCTCTAAACGTGGGGCCTCGCTCCGCTTTTCGCTCGCGGCGCCATCTCGACTCGAAGATCGTCGTGGCCGGTCCTCGAGCATCTCTGCCCTGGCCTCACGCGCCACCTCGGACAGAGCTCGTGGCCTGGCCGCGGCGCCCCGGGCTCGGGCGCGCCGCCCCCGCGTGCGCTCTCGTCCTCCGGGCAGCGGCGGGTGCTGGCCCGGGCCTCTTCTGGGCACCGCGCCCTTCGTCACCGGCAGCACGGGCAGCGCGAGCGGAGCCACCGGGCGTTCCCGCCGCTCCGCGAGATGCGGAGAGCGAGCACGGCGCCCAACTCGAGCGAGTGCGCCTGGCGGCACCACTTATCCCCCCCCCCAAGCGGATGTGGTAAACGGGTCAGCCCTAGTCAGCTACAACGCCGGGATCAGTGCGTGCGAGAGGGGCGCGCAGTCTCAGCAGGCGTTGTCTCTGTTGGGTGAGCTTTGGGATGCGGCGCTGGTGCCAGACATTGTGAGCTACGGTGCCGCGATCAGTGCGTGCGAGAAGGGCGGCGAGTGGGAACAGGCGTTGGCGTTGCTGACTCGGCTGATGGGGTCGAGGCTGGAGCCGAGCGTGATCAGCTGCAATGCCGCAGTTAGCGCGTGCGCGCGCTGTGGGCGGTGGGTGCAGGCCCTGTCGCTGCTGGGCGAGACGCGAGAATTACGGTTGGAGCTGGATGTCAAGGATTTTCTTCCAAACAATCAGCGACAGTCGGAAACATTCGAACACAGTGATGCGTGAGTCTGGGCTTCAAGTAATCAGGATGATGATGATGATGATGATGATGATGATGATGATGATGATGATGATGATGATGATGATGGTGGTGGTGGTGGTGGTGGTTGGTGATGATGATGATGACGATGATGATGATGATGATGATGATGATGATGGTGGTGGTGGTGGTGGTTGGTGGTGATGATGATGATGATGATGAGGAGGAGGAGGAGGAGGAGGAGGAGGAAGAAGAAGGCCCTGGAGGGGTCGGAGACATCGTGTTCCCCGCTTCCGCCTCTTTGAGCGCCGCCGACTTCGATAACTTACTCCCGCGTAACCGGATCGAACCCGCCTGTCCCGCCAGTCAGGCTGACTGAGACCTCCCGGCCACCCCTTGCCTTGGAGGAACGCAGTCGCATTGGAACACGGATCTCAGCACAGGGGCCAGCCCTTTATCAGTTACAACGGTGGGATCAGCGCGTGTGACAAAGGTGGGCAGTGGCAGTGGTCTTTGTCGCTTTTGAGTGAGATGTTGGAGTTGGAGATGGAGCGGACAGTCATTAGCTACAACGCCGCGGTCAGTGCGTGCGGAAGAAGTGGACAGTGGCAGCATGGCTTCTTGCTGCTGAGCGAGATGCAGGAGGCCGAGATGAAGCCTGACCTCATTAGCTACAATGCTGGAATCAGCGCATGCGAAAGAGTTGGGCAGTGGTGCCACGCATTATCGCTGTTACGTGCTTTACATGCGGTGAATATTGAGCTGGATGATATCAGCTACAATGCTGCAATCAATGCGTGTACGAACGGCGGGCAATGGGAGCACGCACTGTCTTTGTTGAGAGATTTGCGGCATGCGAATTTAACGTCGACAATCATAAGTTACAGTATTGGAGTTGGCGCTTGCGAGAAAGGCGGACAATGGCAGCAGTTGTTGTCGTTGTTGGCCGAAATGCGGGAGCGGAGGCTTGATCCCGGCGTCACCAGCTACATATCTGGAGCCAGCGCTTGCCTGAAGTGCACTCTGTGGTCGCAGGCGTTGTCCTTGTTGAAGACTCGTTGGGACCTGCATGCCGATCCCGATGTTGTGAGCTGCAATGTTGGAATCAGCGCGTGTGAGAAAGGTGGGCAGTGGCAGTCTGCACTGTCCATGCTGAGGGAGTTGTGGGCGGCGATGTTGGAGCCAACTACCGTGAGCTACAATGCCGGTATCAGTGCGTGCGAGAAAGGCGGGCAGTGGCAGCAGGCTTTGTCATTGATAGCTGAGTTGTGTAAAATACAGCTCGAGCAGGATATCACCAGCTATAATGCTGGGATCAGCGCGTGCGAGAAAGGAGGGCAGTGGCAAAAGGCTTTGGCACTCCTAAGCGAACTGAGGGAGGTGAATATACAGGCCGCAGTCATCAGCTACAACGCTGCAGTGAGCGCATGTGCGAGCTGCAGGCAGTGGCAGCACGCGCTGTTTTTATTTTATGAGTTCCCCGCAACGAGAGTTGAGCCAGATGTTGTCAGCTACAGTGCTGGAGTCAGTGCGTGCGAGAAAGCTGGACAGTGGGGGCATGCACTGTCGCTTTTGTTCATGTGCAGGCCTTCGGCCTACCCTATCCCACCCGCGTGCCTGGGTCGTGGAGGCTCTCTTGGGAATCCCCTGGGAACCTTGTTGGAGGCCTCTTGGAAGTCTCTTGGGGGCCTCCTGGGGGCCTTTTGGGGGCTTCTGGGGCCTCTTGGGCGCTCCTTGGGGGCCTGCTGGCGGTCTCGGGGGCCATCTGGGGGTGGCGGGCTGAATACATCAGTTCGAGTTTCTTTTTTGGGGGCCGTCTTTGGGACCTATCGGGCCCTCTGACGAGCATTGGGGCCTCTTGGGCCGACTTGGACGTTCGTGAGACCCAGAAGCCGACAGTGTTAGAGTCAGATAGACCGTGTGAGGTGTTTCGACCAGTTTGGCCTCTCTTGGGCCATCTGAGGGCATATGGGAAGCTGATGCCGACAACCCTGCTCCCAAGGCCCTGCGAAAAGTCACGCGGGGAGTATGGGGCCCATAACACAGTGTCTACGAGACCCGGCTTTGAAAGCTCGAAGGGGCCTGGGGCCTTTCCACCCAGTGCCCACGGCACGGCAGCGGACCGGGATGCTTGAGGCGACGCTGGAGGCAGACACCATTTGCTACAACTCCGGAATCAGTGCGTGCGAGAAGGGTGGTCAGTGGCAGCAGGCTTTGTTGCTGCTTGAGGGGATGCTCGGATTAGCGATGGAGCCAGACGCGGTCAGCTACAATGCTGCCGTTGCCGCGTGCGAGAAATGCGGGCAATGGCAGCATGCATTGCTGTTACTGCGTGAGTCGTGGGGGCGAGATTTGGAGTCTGACATCATTGGCCTCGGGTCTGGAATTAGCGCCTGTGAGGAGATGGGGCAGTGGCAGCATGTGCTGACAATGCTCAGCGACCTGGAGCAGAGAGTGGGACGTTGAGTCGAACGAGACGTCACCAGTCGTGGGGCTGCTGCTTGTGCTGTAGTCAAGTTGACTACAGGGTGTTGTACATCTCGTCTCCTGCGACGATGTGCGGCTCTCTTGTTATTCATGGGCTTACGCCACACCGTCGACCCCCTGCTTGGCATCGCTCGGACGTGCGCGTTTCTTCCTCGGCGAGGACCATCGAGGAGCATCCTTGACCATTTGGCGAAAAAACCATGCACGAAAAACCGAACAAAAACACAGGGAGTGGACGTCCAAGCGATGGCGAGCCTGGGGTGCTCGGGCTTCTCGGGTGCTTCTGGGGACCGTTGCTGGTTTCTTGGGGACCCGCGGGCGGCCTCGGGGGCCTTGGGGGTATGCAGCGTCAGGTCGAGCTCCTTCTCTTCCTCCTCCTCCTCTTCCTCCTCCTCCTCCTCCTCCTCCTCCTCCTCCTCCTCCTCCTCCTCCTCCTCCTCCTCCTCCTCCTCCTCCTCCTCCTCCTCCCCCTCTCGAGCTGTCTTGGGCGCCTCTGGGGCCGTTCTGGTGCGCTCCTGGCCAGTTTTGGGGCTCTCTCTATGGGGCCTCGAGGGCCTTTCGGTGCCGATTTTTGGGGGCCTCTTGGATTCGGGTGGAGTTGAGACCTGAAGGCAACTCCGGTGAGCAGGAGTGCTTTCTTCAGGGAGCGGGGCGTTTGTTTGCTTGTTGGGTGTTCTCATGGGAGTATTTTTTGGTGCCTCTTGCGTTGTTTTGGTGCCGATCCGGGGAGCTGTGGGTCAGCGGGGTGGCCAGGGCATCTTGGGCTGTCTTTGGGTGTGTGGGCCCGTTCGAGGCCACCTGATGCCGTCTGGGAGGACAGCTGGGGCAACAGTCTCACGCGTCGACGAGACCCAAGTGGTTGGCGGTCCACCGATCGAGTCGATCTGAAATTGAAGATTTCCTGTTCGATAAAATCAGCTTCGCGCTCCTCGATTTCCTTCTCCCGCTCCTTCGCGCAGCCGCGCGCATTCTCCGCTGGGCTGCGGCGGAGGCAGGAGGAGGTAGAGGCGACACGCGCGGTGCACCAATTCTTGCCTCAATGCCCCTCCTCCCTCCTCCTCCTCCTCCTCCTCCTCCTCCTCCTCCTCCCCTCCTCCTCCTCCTCCTCCCTCCCTCCCTCCCTCCCTCCCTCCCCTCCCTCCCTCCCCTCCCCTCCTCCCTCCCTCCCTCCCTCCCTCCCTCCCTCCCTCCCTCCCTCCCTCCCTCCCTCCCTCCTCCCTCCCCCTCCTCCCTCCTCCCTCCTCCCTCCTCCCCTCCCTCCTCCCTCCTCCCTCCTCCCTCCTCCTCCCTCCTCCCCCACCTCCCTCCTCCAGTCCCTAGACCCCTCGCGCTTCCTTCGGGCTCTGGGGCGGCGGGCCACAGGGTGCTCCCCGCCCCCCCCGAGCGCGGCGGGCGCGCGCGCGGCGCGCGCGCGCGCGCCCGCCGCGGGCGAGGCGCCGGCGCTGGTCCTCGGGGCCGGCGGCCTCCCAGAGGCTGCCCGGCCTTCGGCGCGGCGGCCGACGGACGGCGGCGGACGGCGGCGGCTCCGGGCGGCGACGGGCGGCGGCGGCCGTCGAAGACGGCGAGGACGGCGTCAGGCGACGGGCGGCGGGCGGCCGGCGGCACGGCAGACGGCGGGCCGACGACGGGCCAGCGACGGCGAAGGCGCGCGGCATGGGGGGGGGAGCGCGCCGGGGAGTGGCGCGCCAGGGGCGGCGCCAGAGGCGCCGCCAGCGGGGTCCAGCGTCGATGACAGAAGTTCGCGCGGGCCTCCCAGAGGTCATGGCCGTGCCGTTTCTTGTTCCTCTGCTCCAGTGGCCCCTGGGGCCTCGGCGCGGGAGCGGGCGCTTCTGGTGGTCGCTCGGATGTTTTTTTCGTAAGTTTGTTTCCCAACCATCCTGTGGTGTTGGGTCCTCGTTTTGAAACGCATCGCCCCCTTCCTCATCTCCTCCCCCACCTCCCTCCTCCCCTCCCTGCCTCTGCCCTTTGCGTGCAGGGAGCGCCACCGAACGCCCTAGGGGGTGGTACTGCATAGCGTTCCCCGGCCCATTTCAGCATACCCATCACACGTATCGTGCCCCCACATGGAGCTCCACCGAAGCGTCCAGGGGATTGCATCGCATAGCGTCCACCAGCCCATTCTGGCACACCCCTCACACGTTTCCTGGCCCACTTGGAAGCTCCACCGAACGCTCGAGGGGTGGTACCACATAGTGTTCCCCAGCCCATTTCGGGTCCCTCTCTCGTTTCGTGCCCCCCTATGGAGCTCCACCGAACGGCCCCAGGGGTACCGCATAGCGACCCCAGCCAGTTTCAGCACACCCCTCACACGTTTCGTGGCCCCATGGGGAGCTCCACAGAACGCCCCAGGGGGTGGTACTGGATAGCGTTCCTCAGCCCATTTCGGCGCACCCACGCTTCGTGGCCCCATCGGGAGCTCTATCGGACAGAGGCCACAGTGGTGGGTACGACAACATCGGCTCCCCTCCAGTCCGGCGCACCCCCAGCACGTTTTGTCGTCCGTGGGTGCGCCCGCTTGCGTCTCCCCGCCCATGCCAGCGCACCCCAGACACGCTCGTGGCCGCGAAGGGGGACCCCCTCCCTCGCCCCACCTGCCTGGCGGTCGGCGGCGAGCCAAGGGGGCGCACCGAGGAGGAGCAGGCTTTCCCAGAAGGCGGCGGGACTTCTCAGAAGCCCGCCGGCCTTCCGCGAAGTGTTCTGTGCCCTCGGGGAAGGCTTAGAAGACTTCTCAGAAGGCCAGGGGGCTTCCGAGCCTCTCTCCCCGAGAAGGCCCGCCCCGTCTCGCTGCCCCCCCCCTCCCGCCCTCTCGCTCGCCGCCGGCGTGGGGGCCCCCCGCCGGGAGCCTCTCCTGGAGGGGGCGGGGCACACCGGAGAGACCTCTTGGAGGCCCCGACGTCCTCGCCCCCGGTCGGCCCGGTGCTGCAGCTTTTTGGGGTCGCTGCCGAGAGTGGCGGCGCCCCCCCCATATTGCTCGGCGGCGCGCCTCGAGGGGGGGCAGACAGCGAGGGGGGCGGCGCGGGTCGCGGCTGCCGCGGTCGCCGGCGGTTTTGTGGTCTTCTGCTGCCGCGCAGCGGAGGCAGCCGTGAACGGCGGAGGCGCGCCAGGCAAGCGGCACGGCGGGCGTGTCCCTCTCCAGGAGGAAGATTCAAAGATAGTCAAAAAATAGGCTGGCGACTGTTTTCTGACAATTTTTTGGTATTTCTGGCTATTTATCCTTTTTCATCCCAAAGCCCGCCTTTGGGGGGACATGCCCGACCTAAGGCAAGCGGCACGGCGGGCACGGAGTGTCACAGAAAGCGCCCTGGCCCCTCTCGAGCACAACGCGGAGGGAGCAGGCCTTGTCTCTTCAGGTGGCGGGGCCTCTCGGAAGCCCCCTGGCCTTCTGTCGAGGAAACGTAAGACTCGAGTGCGCCGGAATTCGGGTTAGCCGAGGTTTTTTGACGAGACCGCCCTGGCTTTTGACGATTTCAGGTTTCGTGGGAGGTCTGCAGCGGGAGCTCGCGTCAAATTTCAGAGTGGGTCTCGTCCTTTTCATGATGGCCCCGTCGGGCCAGCCCGAGTCCCCCGTGCCCGAGTCTGACGTCTTCCCCGATCGAGCACCATAGGGAGAGAGCGGGTCTTCTCTCCAAAAAGTCGGCGGGGCTTCTCGGAAGCCCCCTTAGCTCAAGTCGGGCCTGTCACTCCACGGGAGGACGACTCATTACAGTCAAGACAGAGTCTGGGGACGATTCTTGATAATCGTTTGGCTATTTTTGAGCATGTTTTGGTCATGTTTTTTTTGTTTGTCCAAAAGCTGCCTACAGGGGGAGGTGCCCCGACCCAGCCCTCGGCCTTCCCGGGAGCCCTCCGTGGCGTCGGAGAGGCCTCCTCCTGGGACTCGGTTCTCGCTCGGACGTGTGCACTCTTTCTCGGCGGGGATTCTTGAGGAGCATCTTGGGTCATCCTGCGAACAAAAACCACGCACGAAACCGAACAAACACACAGGGAATGGACGTCCGAGCGACGGGGATCGCAGGCCTAGAGGTTGACACCAACACCAATATCGGCGGTGTACCTCCACCGACGGAAGAAGATCCCGATCTTGGTGATGGTGGTCATATTCTGGCCTCCAAGGTGACCGAAGTATTACCACCAACACCGAAATCAGAGAGCATCTTCCCCCGGTGGAGGCAGCCCCCTGTGTTGGCGTTGGTGCTCCTTTCGAGGTTTCCAAGGGGAGGGGAGCCTTCTCGGTGAGGAGGAGGAGGAGGAGGAGGTGGAGGAGGAGGAGGAGGAGGAGGTGGAGGAGGAGGAGGAGGAGGAGGAGGAGGGGAGCCTTCTCGGTGAAGGTCCCCCCCCCCCTCTCTCTGCCCTTCCGCCCCCGGGCGCGCGCCGCCGACCTCTGCCCTTTTACAGCGGAGTCGGGCCTGCCCCCCCTACGGGAGGAGTATGTTCAAGACTAGTCAAGCAACTATCAGGAGGGGAAAAAAACACACAGACACACTTAATCGGCGATTCCCAGAAAATATGGGAAAATATGGGAAGTGGGGGGGAAGACAAAAACCCAGAAAATATGGGAAAATATGGGGGATAATTTTGCTTGTGTATATTTATTTGTGTGTCCCAGTTCCCCTTCAAACTAGCCACTCCAAAGACTAGTCAACCAAGACTAGTCTTTGGAGTGGCTAGTAACTCAACAACTAGTACGTTCAACAACAACTAGTAGAACAACAACTAGCAAAACAACAACTAGTATGTTCAAGACTAGTCAAACAAGACTAGTCAAACAACTAGCGAAGTCGGGCCTGTCCCCCTACAGGGAGATTTTCGACGAAAAATAAAGAATACTCCAAACATACCCCAAGAGGGTCAAAAAATATTCAAAAAATAGTGCCCAGACTATTTTTGGACTATGTTTTGATTATTTTGGGGGTATTTTTTATTTTTCGTCGAAAATCCCCCTGTAGGGGGGACAGGCCCGACATAAAACTGGTCAAACAAATAGCCACTCCACAAATAGTCCACAAATAGTCCAGGGACGATTGCCTCGACTGTTTTTTTCACTCTGCGTGGCGATGTGTGGGGGCTCTTGGTCATGCGTCTTTCAGGATCCGCCTGTAGGAGGGCATGCCCGGCCCAACCTTACAGTGGAGGCCCATGCCAAGAAGCACCCTGCTTGCCTCCAGGGTTCCCTGGGTTTCTTGGGTTTCGATGATCTTGCTACGGCAAAAGCGTGGCGTTCCCGCACCAACAATCCATGGACATGGACGTCCTGGGGCCTCCGGGTTGGGCTTCTCGCGGGGAAGGCTCCTTGTGGACTGGCCTCCGCTGCAGTTCGGCCCCAGCGTTTCCATGGGGAACCAGGCCCAGACCCAGCCGGCCACAGGGTCGGGGACCGAGGGGCCGACGGCCGAGGGGGGGTTCACACACTCGAGGCCTCCCAGGTGGGGTCGGAGTGGCGCCGCCTCGCCGATGCACTGGCGGTGCGGCGCGGTCCTTCGACCCCATCTCCTCGGACGCCATCGGGGAGGCCTCTGACGCGGACCCCCAGGCTCGCGGGGGAAGGAGGGGGAGGAGGAGGAGGAGGAGGAGGATGATGATGAGGAGGAGGAGGAGGAGGAGTATGAGTATGAGTATGAGGATGAGGACGAGGAGGAGGAGGAGGAGGAAAGGAGGAGGAGGGGGACGCTCCTGTCGGCTCCTGGCGCTCTCTTCCCTGCCGCAGGACATGCGTGTCCCGAGGCGCCGCGTGCGGCTCGGGGCATTTCCGGGGCGCGCGGGTCGTCGGGGGAGAGCGGCCGCCGGAGGCCCGAGCCAGTGAGTCACCACCCACCAAACCACCCCAACCCAACCCGAAGGCCCCAATTTGCCTTCCATTTCCAGTGGGGGGGGGGTCCGGGAACATCGAAAAAACACACATGGAGCCCATACCCCCCCCAACCCGAAACTCGGGTCTTCGGGTTGGGTTGGAGTGGCCTGGTAGGCAGTCAGTGAGGACCCGCGAGCCAGGCACCTGGCGCACCGACGAACAGCATCCGAGAGGCCAGGCTGTCGCCGCT